TGGTCGAGACGTGGAAGCCCATTCGGGGCTGGTAGGAGGGCAAGGAAAATCCACAAGAGGACAGCATGGCGGGGCTTTCTGAAGAAGGAGGCACAGTCGCATCTCGACACTCCCAAATTCTGAGCAGCAATTTCAACACTAGCTCCCTGAACTCTTTTGTAAAGTTGTGTTGACCATCACACTCTTGTTGTGTCTCTTCCGAATGGCTGCACAAAATGGGTGTCCAGCGGCCTGTGTGTTCAGTAGTCTGGAAACGAATTCTAATCCTGGTTGATTACAGGGCTCCTTGAACTTGTTATTATCCTTGATTCTCATCCTTTCCTTGAAGGTTAGCACTACATTTCTGAAAAGTGACAAGCTTGCTTTAGGACAGGCATGAGAATGACTAGCTTCCCTACATATGGTTGGATTGGAGATACCAGATTTCCTCACCATTGGCTTTGCTGGGAATTGATACTTGACCCTAAAAAGGTGTGGAAATCATGAGGACCTCCAGTGGTGGTTGGACTGCAACTTCCAGAATAGGATAGCTAGTGGTGAGGGATGCTGGGAGCTGCAGTCCAACCATCTCTGGAAGACCTCATGGTTCCCAAGTGGAATACATTACTGGTGGAGTCTCCTTCTTTGGAGGTTTTTAAGCAGAGGCTGGATGGCCGTCTGTCAAAGGGAGTGCTTTGATGGTGTCTTCCTGCATGGCAGGGGGTTGGACTGGATGGCCCCCTGGGGTCTCTTCTAACTCTATGATTCTATGATCCCCTGAGGCTGAAAGAGTGTGACTTGCCCAAGGTCCACCAGTGGGTTTTCATGACTGAGCAGGGATTCGAACCCTCCTCTCCAGAGCTCAGACCATTACACCATGCTTGCCTTAGGCCGCCATCAGTCGGAAACCACTTGAAGGTACATAACGAGAAGAAAAATAATAATTTAATGCAGTGATTCCCAAATTTGGGGGGATTTTTGGGACTTCAGCTCCCAAAATTCCTGATTATTGGCCAAGCTGGCTGGGGCTTCTGGGAGTGAAAGTCCAAAACAGCTGAAGGACCAAAGTTTGGGAACCACTGATGTAATACCATCCTCACCAGGAGCACCACCATCACCATCACCATCTCTTGGATGCCTTCCATAACCGAGGAAAAGGAGTGGAGGCTAGGCCACGGTCGCCTTCAAGTCCCTTTGGCTTTGTGGACTTGAGAACGAATCTCGCTTCCTTTCACCCTCCTAAAGAGAAAGAGAGAGTGGGTAGAGATTAGGAGCTGAGTCAGGGCCCCCAAAAGAGCCATAATCCAAAGATCCCTTGAAGACTTGAAAGGAATCCAGGCAGTGGATCATAAAATTCTATTGCCCCTTTCTTCTTGGCGGGGGGTGCCGAGTTCTGATTATGCAGCTCTGATCTTTCCCTTTGAAGTTCCCTACCTCCTGACCATTGTTCTTGGGGCTTTGCAGGGTGGCCAAGGCAAGCCATTGATTATTTTCCCCAAAGCATCCTCCGAAGGATGGAGGTTGGGTGCATACCAGGAGCCGGAAAACATCTGGGAGACATAGGATGGGATGATAATGATAATAATAATAATAATATCATAAAATAAAATAAAATGGATGTCTAGAGTAGTCATATTAACAAATTTATACATATGTACTTATGTATGTGTATATCCATAGCTTTAAAATAATTTTTATAATAATAATAATAATAATAATAATTAATAATTTTTAAAAATGTTTTACAGCTATGCATATACACATACATAAGTACATATAAATGTGTTAATATGACTACTCTAGACATCCATTACTATTCTAATAAAAACATATAAACAAACAAACATAGAATAACTTCCCCTCTTTTACTATGAATATTTCAATTATGTCTCTTTCATTCTCCCATAATTGTCCCATAATTGTGGTTGCTCTACTCATCCCAGAATGCCTCGTTTTAATGAGGGTTAATTTGAGATTGAGTTTTGGTACATTGATTGTATTTTATTTTATGATGTTTTCTGTTTTAATCGGGGGTTAGGGAATTATGTTTAGTTAATGTGACTATGATTTTTTATGATTGTTATCTGTCTCAATCCTTTGGGGAGATAAATAAATTATAAATTATTATTATTATTATTATTATTATTATTATTATTATGACTTTCTGATTTTCAATTAAATTTTCTTCCAACTTAAAAACATACATACATGTCTCATTCTTACAATTAAGTTCCATTTCAAATATCTTTCTTTATAACATTTCTTCCTTTCCCACACTATGATATTAAGTTCTGGCCATTCCTTTATCTCTTCAACTAAGAAAGTATTATATTCAATATAATAGTTGGGCATTCTTTTAATATTATTTTCCATTTTTATTCTCTTCAAACTATTACACTGTTCCCCCCCCCCCACTTTTGTGAGAAATATTTTGTTATTAATAGCTATTCTTTTTCATATCTGTTTGGTTCTCCTTTACTTTTCCATTTCCTTGCTAGAACCGATCTTGCTGCTGATATCATATAAAAGATAATCTTGCCAAATTTTCTCTCTATTTCTTCATTGACCGTCCCTAAGAGATATGTGGTAGGCTCCATATTCATCTTAATAGCTAAGATTTTTTTCAGGATGGGGCAATAATTTTGGTGAAAAAGAACAATCCTGAAACAGAAGCCGCCTTGGAATAATCTTATAAGGCCAAATTTAGCCCAAAAATGGGCAAACTTTCAAGCTATGCAGGTCTCTTTAACAAGGAAAGGTGTTTAATCCTCTCCGTTAGCATCCTTGTATACCTTCAGTTTCTTTCTGACTTATGGAGACCCCCAAGGCAATGATACCCAAAACTCTGGTTCTCCAGATGTTTTTGGACTTCGGTTCCCAGAAGCCCCAACCAGCTTGGCAAAGAGCCTGGGATTCTGGGAGCCAAAGTCCCAAAATCTGGAGGACCAACCTTTGGAAAACAAGGCAAACCTATCAAGGGGTTTTCTTGGCAAGTTTTGTTCAGAGAAGGTTTGCCACAGCCTTCCCCTGAGGCTGAGAGAGTATGGCTTGCCCAAGGTCACCCAGTGCATTTTATAGCAGGATTCGAACCCTGGTCTCTGGAGTTGTAGTCCAAGACTCAAGCCACTCCGTTAGCATCCTTCCTTTTTCCTTTTTCCCTTTCTTCTTCATTATGTTTTATTCTTGTTTATGCATTTCTCGTTACCTTAACGGTTGCATGTTAGTTTGTAATATCTCAAGTGAAAATGATAAATATTTTAAAATAACAACACAGGGAAAGGCTCAGGAAGCAACCCTTTTATACTGGAGATGCTAGGATTCGAACCTGCAACCTGCGTCCGAAGCCTGGGCTCTTCCACACTGTTTAACATCAGTATCAATGTTGTTATTAATTGCCATCAAGTCAACACGTAATGCATAAATGTGCTGAACTTTGCATATATTTACTACAATCCCATTTAAACCACCCAATGGAATAATAATAATAATAATAATAATAATAATAATAATAATAATAATAATAATAATAGAAACCAATGATCATACAGCAACAGCCCTATCAGGGAGAGGAAGCCTTAGGCTATGGTTGTTTTGAAATACTCTGATTTTTGCTGTATTATCATTTTTATGGAAATGCATCATATTTTTTATTTTAATGTAAATTTCTGCATTATTTTCTAAGGGAGAGGATACCCTAATATCCTTGCTGAAGGAATAAGGGTGATAATTATAAATATTATCGGGGATGTCCCTTATTTTCAGCTTTGGACATTTGGAATCTGTGTGCAGATGTATCTGCACTGTAGAATTAATGCAGTTTGACACCGCTTCAACGGCCGTGGCTCAATGCTACGGAATCCTGGGATTTGTAGTTTGGTGAGATGCTTAGCCTTCTCTGACAGTGTAGCAGTTTGAGTGTTGGATTATGACTCTGAAGACCAGGGCTCGAATCCCAGCTTGGCCATGGAAACCCACTGGGTGACCTTGGGCAAGTCACACTCTCTCAGCCTCAGCGGAAGGCCATGGCAAAGCTCCCCTGAAGAAATCCTGCCAGGAAAACCCCATGATGGTTTCGCCTTGGGGTCCCCATAATTCGGAAAGCACACAACAACAACAACAACAACAACAACAGTGAGCAAGTCACACTCTCTCAGCCTCAGGGGAAGGCTATGGCAAACCTCCTCTGACCAAATCTTGCAAAAAAGAAAATCCCCATAATAGGGTTGACCTCAAGGCACACAACAACAATAACAACAATGCCAAACCCTTACAAAAATCACACCTTGTGGGGAGTCTCCTTCTCTTCCTCCCCACTTTTGCTGCCAATGCCATTTCAACTTGTAAAAATAATAAAATAAAAAGATTTATAACAATCAGCGGAAGAAGAAAAAAGAAACGTAGTTCCTCTGGTTTTAATCACAGATAGAGGCTCTGAGACCTTCTGATCAAAGCAACGCTTTTGGAAATCAACGGCAACTGGACTTCTGCAAACAAGAAAGGATGGAGCAAGCTGATTTCCCAGAGTGTGGAAGGAAATATATTTTAAAATTGCATTATTTTTTGGACTACAGGTCCCAGAACCTCGCTGTTCCCTTCCTCCGAGGCTGAGACAGTGTGACTTGCCCAAGTTTGCCCAGAATTCCATAGGATGGAGCCACAGCAGTTAAAGGGGTGTAGTTGTTGTTGTGTGCTTTCGAGTCCTCTCAGACTTACGGCAACCCAATCACGGGGTTTTCTTGGCATGTTTTTTTCAGAGGGGGGGTTGCCATTGTCATCCTGAGGCTGAGAGAGTGTGACTTGCCCAAGGTCACCCTGTGGGTTTTTACATGGCCGAGCGGGATTCGAACCCTAGTCTCCAGAATTCTAGTCTGATGTTCAAACCCCTGCACCACACTAGCTTTCTCTTTTTGGACTACAGGTCCCAGAATCTTGCCCTTGCCTTCCTCTGAGGCTGAGAGTGTGTGACCTGCAAAAGTTTACTCAGTGTCAAACTGATTCAAATGCAGGACTGCATCTGCGCTGCAGAAATAATCCATGTTGATATCACTTTAACTGCCACGGCTCAATGCTATGGGATTCTGGGATTTGGTGAGATCTTTAGTGTTCTCTCTCGGAGAGCTCTAGAGCCACAACAAACTACATTTCCCAGAATCCCATAGCATTGAGCCACAGCCATTAAAGTGGTGTCAACCTGGGTTATTTCTACCTGGCAGATGCAGCCTTGGTCTCATCTGCATTGCAGAAATAATGCAGTTTGAGACCACTTTAATTTCCATGGCTCAATGCTATGGGATTCTGGGATTGGTAGTTTTGTGAGATGCTTTAGCCTTCTCTGTTAGAGAGCTCTAGTGCCTTCACAAACTATAAATCCCAGGATCCCATAGGAAGGAGCCATGGCAGTTAAAGCAGTGTCACACTGCATTAATTCTGCAATGCAGATAGGATTCCCCTTGCCTAATTCTTCTTGCCCTCTCCTGGCACCCAAGGTCACTCAGATGCTTTCTATGGGCCAAGGGAGGATTCGAATCCTGGTTTCCAGAGTCATGTCCAATGCTCATGTGTATATACACACACACAGACACACACAAATAAATAAATAAATAAATATACACATACACATACACACAGATAGCAGACTGAGACTCCCTTATCTGGAATTCCAAAATCCAAAATTGTCCACATGGATGGCTGAGAGAGTGGCACCTTTGCTTTCTAATGGTTCAGTGTATACAAACTTTGTTTCATGCACAAAATTATTCTCTTCCCGGTCTTCTCTTCCATTATGTTTTGTTCAAGGGTTGCCACTTCTAAGGCCTATATTGCATGTCCAAAAAAAGGCTGAAATGTTCTGCAACTACAGGTTGAGTCTCCCTTATCCAGACTTCCCAAATCCAAAATGGGAAGTCCAGCATGGGTGGCTGAGAGAGTGGCACCTTTGCTTTCTGATGGTTCAATGTACAAAACTTTGTTCCATGCACAAAATTGTTCTCTTTCTCTTGTATTCTTTTTTGGTCAAGGGTTGCCACTTCTAAGGCCTATATTGTATGTCCAAGAAGGCTGAAATCTTCTCCAGCTACAGATCTAGAATTCCAAAATCTGAATATTCCAAAATCCAATATTGTTTATATTGATGGCTGCGATAGGGACACCTCTGCTTTCTGATGGTTCAGCCTACCCAAACTTTGCTTCTTGTTATTGTTATTATTACATTATACAGACCCCACTTTAAAAGGGTCTCTTCCTTATTATTCTAGTCTGGGCTTACATTCCTTTTTGGTCAAGGGTTGCCGCTGCTAAGGCCCATATTGTATGTCCAAGGAGGCTGGGATGTCCTCCAACTACAGATTGAGTCTCCCTTATCTGGAATCCCAAAATCCGAAGTAGTCCAAAATCTAATATGGTTTCTATTGGTGGCTGAGATAGGGGCACCTCTGCTTTCTGATGGTTTGGGTGTACAGCAACTTTGTTTCTTGCACAAAGTCATAGTCTTCCTATTCCTATTCCTATTCCTATTCCTGTGCTGGCCTTCTTTGCTCTCTGGCTTCTTTCTTCTTGGAGCCGTGGCTTTCCTGCTCTTTTGCTCCAGGACTGCCATTGCAGAGGCCCATCTGGAAGGTCCTGCAGGAAAGGGGCTGCCTGCCTTGCCTTGCCTTGCCTTGCCTTCTCTGGGGCAAAGCTCCAGCGCAGCAGGACAGGACAGCCCTCGCTCTGCCTTGCTGGCCCTGGGGGTCCATTGTGGTGTGTATTTGTGTGTGTGTGTGTGTGTAAGTGCAAAAAGAGAAGGAGAGCATCAGAGGCAGGGGTAGGCAACCTAAGGCCCGGGGGCCAGATATGGCCCCCTGAG